CGCCCCCCCCCTGCCAGTGCCGCTGCAGCCCCCCCCCCAGCTCTGCTTCCCACCCCCCCTTCCTCCTGGCCAGCCCCCGCCCCCATCCAGTCCCTCTGCCCTGTCCATGATCAAGTGTGTCCGGTTTTTTTGGGGGTGGTCTACCTGGTAACCCAGCTGCAGCTCCACAACATGCTCAGGGACAGGGCTTCTCCTCCTCCTCAAGACGTCAGACTCAACCAGAGGCTCCCAGTGCCGATTGCGCCCCACTTTCCAGTCATTTCCCCCACCGCCACCAGGCTTCAGTCTGGCGCCCCACTGGAAAACCAGGAAATACCAGACATTGCACATGTCGGGTATTTTCTGGATTTTTTTTTTACCAGACAGAGGGCCCAAAAACTGGACTGTCTGGTAGAAAACTGGACACCTGGCAACACTACCAGTCAGACCCGGTGCAGGCACCAACTGATGGGGAGACTGCCAGAACTTTGGGACCCACAGACTGCGGGGTGGGGGTTTGTGGCCCAAAAGGGGGCTGAGAAACCTAAGAAAGACAGAGTAGGGGGAGCACCAGAAGGGTGACAGTCAGGGCGACCCTAGAATTCTGTTACAGACCAGCTGGTGGCTGCTGGAGATGGAGGGAAAAATATGGGGAAAGGGTCAGAGAGAAAGGGGCTTGTGCTGAGGGAAGGGGGGCAGGTAAGGAGAAGAAAGGAGAGGGCACGAAGGGACAGGGTGGAGGAGAGCGACAAATGCCAGGGGGCCAAGTGGAGACAATGAGGAAAAGGGCAGGAGGGGAAGTGTCAGTGAGAGGGGGGACAGGATGATGCTAGGAGAGGAGAGGGGAAGGGCTTTGGAGGTTAGAGGGGAGAAGGGGAGGTGCTGGGAGAAGGCTTGAATGAAGGGGTGGGCATGAGGAAGGCAGGGATGTGTGAGGGCACAGGGACATGAGGGAAATGGGGGCAGAGAGTGGTGAAGGGGTGGGCATCAGGGACAAAGAGGGCAAAGGAAGGGGGAAGCACCAGGAGGGTGCAGGGGTAAGGGAAGGTGCAGGTGCCAGGGGATTCTGGGGATGAAGCAGAAGGGCAGACACCTGCAGGGGAGGGACCAGCATCAGAGGAGAGAGGCAGGGCAGGTGTGTAGAGCGAGGTGTTAGGAGAGGGGATGAGGAGAGGTAGCTCACATGATCAGAGTGGGGCTACTTGAGGAGTGGGCATGGGGGGGAGAGAAGGGCTGGTGGAGGGGGCAGGTCTCAGGAAGGCTGAGGGCAATGAAAAGGGCAGGAGTCAGGACAGCAGAGGTAGGTGAGGGGTTGGGGGGCAGCAGGCACCAGGGGAGCTGATGGAGCAAGGGGCGGAGACATGGTAACAGAGGGGAGCTGGCTGCTACACTCACCAACCCCCTTCCAATCCTCCCTAAAACCCCAACCCTCTCTGATGGTCCCCAACAGAAACAGATCATTCCCCTTGTCCTCTAGCCCCATGGTGGGGGAAGGGGCAGGGAGGACATAAGTACAAGGCCTTAGGCCAGAAACTCTTCTGGGGTTCCAGGATTAGTGGATTTAGTGCTCCTCCCCCCCCCCCCCCCCCGCCACTCCCCCCCCCCCCCCCCCGAGTTAATGTCACACAAATTGGGTTAATGCAATTGCAGGATAGTTGCTTGAGGGAGGTTTGGTGAGGGCCATACTAATCCCTATTGGTAAGAGTGGGAAAAGTCCTTGGGGGGGGGGGTCATATGACACCTTTTATTTCTGGTCGTGTGTCCATATTGCCCCAAAAGTATTACCTCCAGAGGCGTGGCTAATGGGGGTCAAAGAGTACATTTTTAAAAAATTCTTTGGGTGCACACACTAATGAAATGTGCTGCGCACACCTACGTTGATCACACTGATCTTCTCCTTGGCTATGTCTAGACTGCAGGCTTCTTTCGAAAGAGCCTCTTTCGAAAGATCGCGTCTAGACTGCAGGCGGATCTTTCGAAAGAGCAATCCGCTTTTTCGAAAGAGAGCACCCAGCGAGTCTGGATGCTCTCTTTCGAGGAAGCCCTATTTACATTGAAGAACGCCTTCTTTCGAAAGAGGAA